TCATGAAGTACTTGGACGTGCTGGGTGAAAATTGCCAAGAATTAGACATGATTGATACGTTTAGCAAGTATTTGCTAGATGTGAATGCCACTACCATTTTCTCTACAAAACTAGATTTGTATAAATCGCCGACAGATGGCGACACTACTGGTGAAATCCCGTTTGTTTTTCACGCGAGAGAAGAGTTTGTGTTTAAGGGCTGGAAAGAGATGGCGTCACTAGTGTTACCAAATTTTGTACTTAAAATTGGTTTGGCGGATAGGAAAGCGCTTAAATTTTTTCAAAACGTCATCCGCCACCTTTTGAAGGATAGACGCGATAATCCGGGTAAAAAATATAAAGATTTTGTTCAGATGCTTATGGATGCTGAGGTAACCGGTAGAAAGCCTGGCGATGGTAGTGCCACAACTCAGGATGATATGGATAATAGTGAAATGCATCATGCTAATCAAGGTATGTAAAAGATAATTAGGTAATTTTAATTAGTTTTAACTGCAAGTTAATTTTTATTTAATGTAGATAATTATAATTTTAAATTTATAAATTTATACTTGGTGAAATGGTTATAAATAATATTCTAATATCAATAATATTAATTTCATATCGTTTCAGTATCGTATAAGATATCAAATAGCTTATTTAATTATTTTAAAAATATATTTGTGAAAACTACACTTGTAGCTATTCTAGTGATTTTTATCAAATAACTGCTACTGTTATACACTTTCAACAGGGCAGATTACTACAAACTTTAAAAATGAATTTACTATTTAATAAAAATAGTTTTTAATTATAAAATTCAATATAAAAAAATTCATTCAAAAGGCGAGAAGTCGTTAGCCGTCGAGCGAAAAGTGATGGACATTAAGATTAGGGACAAACGGCTGACGGAGGACGAGGTCGTCGCTCAGGGATACCTATTCATGAGGGGCGGGATTGTGGCGACCACATCGACACTAGCGTTTACGGCATACGAGCTCTCTTTAAACCCTGACTGTCAGCGCCGCCTACGCCACGAGATTTCAGGCGCTATCAGTGCCACCACCGGTGAGATAGCGTACGATGTGTTGGCACGACTACCCTATTTGGATGCCGTCGTGTCGGAGACCCTGCGCATACACGTCACACCCGCTTCAATATTTAGGTACCCGTCCGTTGACTATAGGTTAGGCGATACGGGTATTACTTTGAAGGCCGGGCAACAGATAGAGATTCCCGGCTACGCCATACACCTGTCCGATGAGAATTATCCCGATGCTTTTAAGTATGACCCTGATAGATTT